TTTTGAGAGTTTTGACAATAAACTCATGCTTGCATGTCCAAGTCTTTTATACCAAAGTTCACTTCCTCTCCTCCTGTAACCAAGAGTTTTACACTGCCAGATTTGATGTCATTAAAATTTAATGTATATACATTAGCATGTCTATTTCAAGTAAAAACAATCAAACCTATTTTTGGATCAATAATTTGCATATAGTAGATTCGAAAAGAATAGACACATCTTTGTCACAAAGCTGACCAATGAAAATAAGATTTTTCTTTAAACCATCAACAAGTAAAACTTAAGGAGTTTAAAAGAATCATCACTTTTATCTTTAATTCCTATAATCTTACCTTTAACGTTATTTCCAAAAGTCACATCTCCATCTTTTTTCTTGTAGAGTCTAAGAAATGAATCTTTCTTACCTATTATGTGTCAAGAACATCTTGAGTCTAAATACATTGTGCTTCCATGTTCCTTAGTGCTCCATTGAATTTCCTTATCCAAATTGTCATCCTCGGAATCTTTTGAAATATGGGCATTGGTCATGAAATGGTGACTCCTATCATTCGAACTCAAGTCACTTTCTGATTCTTCATCTTCACTTAGGAAATCCCACGATGCCTTGAAGCTCTTGTTCTGTCCTCTGTAATCTCTCTTGTTGAGAGGATATTCATTTCTATGGCATCAATGATGACGAGTAAATTCAGAATCTGATTATTCATATTCAGTTTTCCATACCTTAGTAAAGTTCTGATTCTGTTTATTATGTATAAACTTTGCCCATCTTTTATCTTTAGGAATGATTTGAATCCTTTAACTACTAATCCTATCCCGCTCTTGTCATCACCATCAGAGTCTGAGCTTGATTCTTTTTTCTTATTGGATTGGGATTTTTCCTTTTTGGCCTTCAGGATTGATAATTTCTTATTTGAATTATCTTCAGAAGCGTCTTCTCTCTCTTTTAATCGCACTTCAAACCTGAGAAGATTACCTACAAGATCCTCAAGAGTTAAATTAGAGAAATTTTGCAATTCTTTAATGGCTACTATCTTTGGTTCTCAATCTCTAGAAAGATAACAAAGAAATTTTCTAGAAAGTTCTTTGTTGTCATACTCTAGAAAATTTCTTTGTTGTCATACTCTTTTCCCAAAGCTTTAGATTTATTCACAATGTCCATGAATTGGGTAAGCATATCTTGAATACTCTCCAAGACTTTTATCTTCAAATTTTCATAATTATTCACAAGCATTGTAAGTTTCACCTCTTTCACCTGTGAAGTTCTCTCGTGTGTAACTTCTAGAGTTTTCCAAATTTCCTACACAAATAGTATGATTTAAAACACGGTTAAATTCTTCAATAGTTAAAAAATTATAAAGAGCATTCATAGCTTTTACATTTAAGGAATAAAGTTTTTTGATGGGAGTGTTCCACTTGTCTCTAGGAGTAACAATGTGACCTCTTCTACAACAGTAGTGGGTTCACTATAGACTTCAAACATCATAATCGATGGATAATAAAAAGACTCACATACATGCTTTCCAATAGGTATAGTTAGTCTGATTGAAAATTGGGGGCGGTTCACAGTGTGTCTTTCAGGAAAAGACAACACGACAGTCAAACTGGACGTCTCTACTATTGGTTGTGAATCCTAAAGATGGGTAATGAGGCTCTGATATCATTTGTTAGATATGAGATATAAATCTAGTGGGTGAATAGAGTTGCTACCGTTTTTCGCTAAAAACTCAAGATATGCAGCATAATAGATAAAATAACAGCAAAGAACAAACAACCAAGGACACGCAAGATTTTATAGTAGTTTGGATAATAATCATACGTCCACTTTTCCTTCTTACGAAGGGGTTTCTTCACTATACCAAGAGTTCAATTGAATCACAATCTGATTCAATAAGCTTATAAAGACTGCACTCTAAGATCTACCTAAAACCAGTCGCTTAACCTAACTCTCTACTATGAGTAGCACATTGCCTTAGCTAGCACTAACCATCAATTATCACCGGCTGGAGTGTATCTTAAAAATAAGTTTGAAACAAACAACCATGTATAGTTTAAGCATAAAAAATATAAAAGATATTATAGCCTTTTGTTAACAAACCATTCTTCAGTGATTTAAAGTAAAGTTTGATGAAGAACTGTGTGGATGATGAAACCTAGGGCAACTATTTCTCTAAGATGATCCGAAGATGATGAGTGGGACGAGAAAGAGTTTGTTGAGGCTCTGGGTTCAAAACACCAATTCAATCTTCTTCAAATAAACCCTAAAATTTCCCTTTTTAAGCTCACTTTTAAAACCCTACTCTCCTCCAAATTTATCTCTTTGAATCTTGTATAGCCTCTGATTAATCAGGAAAGAGATATTCTAATCATAGTGAAAGGTAGAGATGAAAGAGATTAATGAACAGCTGTGATTAAATTAACAATTCTAGACTATGCCGTCTTAACCATTGATGGGCCTTCATGACCATTGATCGGTCCTAAGCACATCTATGGGTGTTTGTAAATCATTGATGGTTTGAATTTCTATTTTTTAAAATTCCTATAGATCATCAATGACCTCAACCCAATCGATGGATTCCTAACACCATCGATGGGTCCAATGCTAAAATTAGCTTGCATGCTGATTTTGGCATCATTTCGCCTTGTTCTCTTTGTAAACTTATTTTCACATGTGCTATATCATCTCAAGCAATTATTAGTACCTGTAGGCTGTCTAAAAATCACAACAGATAGTTTATCCCCATCAAATACCAATAATGGAAGTTACAATCTGACGACTTCTAGAATGTTACAATTTGAAGACTTTCACGTAGATCGATAAAAGTTACAAACTGACGACCTTCGCAACAACTGATGAAAGCTCTAATCAACAGCCTTCACAATCAACATCGGGAGTTATAATCTGACGACTCTCATATTTTTAAGGAGCTAAGACGAAGATTATAAGATGACGGTCTTTGCAACGCTCTAGCAAAAGAGACTATAAATCGACGGTCTCTTCAAATCAAAACGCATGGTTCATCCCTAGCGTTCAAAGTCAAAACGCACGGGTCGGACCTGCATTGCAACATCAAAACGTACGGGTCGAACCAGCGTTATAACATCAAAACGCACGGGTCGAACCTGCGTTGCAACATCAAAACGCACGGGTCGAACCAGCGTTATAAAACATCAAAACGCACGGGTCGAACCTGCGTTGCAACATCAAAACGCACGGGTCGAACCAGCGTTATAACGTCAAAACGCATGGGTCGGACCTGTGTTGCAACATCAAAACGCACGGGTCGGACCTGCGTTGCAACATCAAAACGCACGGGTCGGACCTGCGTTGCAACATCAAAACGCACGGGTCGAACCAGCGTTATAACCTCAAAACGCAGAGGTCATCCTTGTGTTATAACATCAAAACGCAGAGTTCATGCAGAGCTCAACTCTGCGTCCCAGGTCCAAAAACGCACAATTCATGCAGAAACCAACTCTGTGTCCCAGGTCCAAAACGCAGAGTTCATCTCTGCGCAGCGCGACCTGTGCGTTTTCAGCCTAAAACAAGCCCAACTCTGTATTTCAGGTGTAAAACGTAGAGTTAGGGCCCAGAACGTTGTTTTCAGCGTTTGACTCGTTCAAGCACGATTTGAACGGTTCCAGAACAGTTTTCTCCCCACGATTTGAGGGGATCACTACCATATCATGGAGAGATTCATGGGGGGCAGTTACACCCCATTAAACCCTCATTAAGGAGAGATTTAAGGGGGCGGTTACACCCCTAAATCCCCTATAAATAGTGGGAAAACTCAATTGAGTTGGGGCGGGCTTTTTGGATCTTAGACTTGGCAGCGAAAAGATCTTCGGCTTGGCAGCGAGGGGAAGATCGACGTTCATCCTTCAGCAACGTTCAACAACAGAGAGCTTTCATCCTTTGCTTATAAACCGATTTCGGTTAAATCAACTCTTTCATAAAGTTTCAAACTTGTTCAGAGTTATCAACTCGATCAGAGTTCAAAACTTGCTCTACAAGTTCTTCTAAAACTCGCTCTGAGTAAACTTGCTCTACAAGTTCTTCTAAAACTCGCTCTGAGTTATTAACTCGTTAAGAGTTATTTTTAAACTTGCCACGCAAGTGATTAACTCGTTAAGAGTTATTTTTAAACTTGCCACGCAAGTTCTCCACAACGTCAAATCGTGAGGAGAAAACCATGTTCCAGTAAAACAAGACGTTCGGATCGTCAACGGAGAGCAAACTTGACGCGAGCATTCGATGGAAACACTCCATCGCCACCATGAAGAACCCAGAATTAAACAAAGGGGAAAATCCAGATCATTCTCCTCTCTTTTGTAATCAGGAATTCGATTGTAATTAAGAGTAGAGGGAATTGTAAATATTCTTTTTCTAAGCAGTTAGAGAGAATAGAATCAAACACAATTCTTTCATCATTTTCATTTCACAAATTTTCCAACAAACAGTACCAAATGAGAGTTTGTTATTATTCAAAACGATAGATATTGTACGGACTACGTCCTAACAAATGGTGCTATTAGAGAGTTACAAAACCATAGACTTTCAATCATCTACATCGAAAAAACATGTGGTAAAGAACTATTGTATAGTGATGAATTACAAATCGAAAAAAAAAATTCTAAGGACTACTGTATGGTGATGAATTACAAACCGAAAAAATGAAGAACTTAGATTTTTTTTTTTTTTTGGTGGGGTGGGAGGAGGGGTGGGGGGAAGCTAAGTATTGCATGGTGCAAAGACCAAAGATTAAAAATGGGAAAATGAACAACCAGCAGCGCCCACCGTGGGGCTCGAACCCACGACCACAAGGTTAAGAGCCTTGCGCTCTACCAACTGAGCTAGACGGGCTTTGTCTAGGGGGCTGCTAAAATTACCTAGAACTTGTACTAAATCAGCAAAGGATCTAGCACCCGACTGCTGCCGCTGAGACCCTGTAATTCCCACCCACCTTAGCATTATATATTCATGTACAGTTTACATACACCAATTTCAAGCTACAGTAAGACAGAAGAACTGCTAAAATTCTAAAACTATATTACCAGATCAAGAAGCTATACAGTTCTACTTTCCTTCATGAGGCACAGGGAAAATGCCCATGACACCCACAACTACTGAAAGAGACCAAACTTACAACCAAAACTCCAAAAGAACTTGCGCACACCCAAAAAAACCATAATTTACAAGACCGATGAGTAAACCCTCTAGCACTGATAAATCGAAAAATTCTTCTTCCATAAAGAACTCAGAGTCCTCCCAAACTTCTTCCTCGGTTTACATATCGCCTTCTTCTCCACCACCATCACCTCTTCTTCGTTCGTCTCCTGCTGAGCTGGTGAAGGCTCACGCTGTCTCTGCTCTCTAAACAACTTCAGCAGCCTCTGAGCCTTCTCTCTCCCTCTCACTGTCCCATTTGCTGATACTGACACTAAAGCAGGTATAACTCCCTCTTGCAACAAAATCTCAATGCACTTCTCATCACCATTACATATCATCAACAAACATGACACTGCTTTCTCTTGTTCATGCACCTCACCAGTATCCAAAATTATCGCTAGTGAAGCTATCAGTCCTGGGGCCGACACAATTTCCTTGATCCCCAATTTGTTCGTAGCTATGTTTATAAGGATGGAAAGGACCTTCTCGATTTCTGATGAGGAGATGAGCAGGGAATTGAGACTGGTGACAATGTTGGAGCTTAAAAGGGGTTGGATGTTGGAAGGTTGAGTGGAAAGGTTGTAGAGTGTATGAAGAGCATCGTGCTTGGAGATAGAACTGGAATCTTCAGAGTGTGAGAGTTGAACTAGGAAAGGGACGGCTGGGCTTGATCCGATAATGGGCTTTGCTTCATCAAGAAAAGAGAGATTGAGGTAAAGAGCAGTGGCGGACTCTTCAGTTGTGGAGGTGGAGATCATTTGCTCGAGGAGGAGGATTACTCCATTAGATACTAGGAGTGCCTTGTTCCTGAAATAATAAAAGGGAGATCGTCTCGTTAGAAGTTTCTTTTTAAAGTTGATAAGACAATACTGGAAAGAATCTCTCCCAAGATCAATATTCCAACAGAAACCAGTTTGTTATATACTGTAAAGAAAGCATTCATTACAGGGCTAATTGCACATAGATCCCATAGTATCGCTAGAACTTATTATGTAGTATTTTCATAAGCAGGCTCTTTTAAACCATGGATAGAATCACTACGTTCATCCAGGGGCAATACTTGCCACAATTTCACCAAGGGTAACAGAGTCAAAATATTTTAACTGAGGGGGCATATTTGCAACAATGAAGTTACAGGGGTAATACATGCAAAACAGTGATACTACAGGGGTCCATATGTAATTACCCCTTAATTATATGCAAAGTAGCTTGGTTTGTGTCTTTTGATAAATGTTGAAACATAAATAACTCCTAATTTTAAGTAGAACAACAATAATGAAGACTTGATATAACCTATAGGTATCAAGAACTTGAATTCAGCACAATAATACCTTCTTTTTTTTGCGTGTGTTGAGAAAGCATAGACTAGAATGTTATAAAACCCGCCTACAAGATCACAAACAACAAGGCCTTTATTCCATTTTTTTTGGAAACATTACATAACCATCCTATATAATGAAATTTGCATATACATATATTTTCATCTGGATGCCTTTTCCAAATTGGAACACCCAGAGTGAAGATATTCCATGTAAAGTGCTATAAGGGAAAAGAGCGCTAAAGCAATCTTAAAAAAATAGGCAAATTTTTCAGTTGCTCATGTAGCCATTAATGTAGTATAAGAAGTGATTGTTCAATCACAAGGGACATTTATTTAATTTCCCCACTAGCAATTTGAAGATGTAATTCAATAGATTTAAATAAAATCTAAACTTTAGAAACAACGGATCCGAATACCTGTTATTGTTGACAGAAAGATTGAAAAGAGCCATAGTTCCAATCTCTTGAGCCTCCTCATCTCCTTCATAGATAGCTGATCTCAGAAACTGGACCAGTGCCTCAACAGCCCCATTTGCACCCATATAAATCCTTGCTTCCTCATCATCCTTCAGCAAAAACCTTATTTCCTCTACTGCTTTCCGCTGTTTCCTCATACTCTGGCCTTCATAAAGCATAGCCAGTAACTTTGTGTATCTTCCAACCCCATCATCTACATTAAAATCTGGACAGGAGCAATTGTTTATATTACCCATCTCATTCTCCTCCAATGGAACCACCTTAACTCCTTTCATCATACAAGAATCGAGACTACCTAGCGATCTAGAATCCAACCTCCAATAATTAACATCAAGATTTCCCGGTGGACCACCAGGAATTGACATTCCATTTTGTTCACACCAACTAGCAATCAAGCCTTTAACACAATAATTTGGGGTCAACCCGAGATGAGCTAGCTGTTGTTGGGTTTTCGGGCAGGAGCAATGACCATCATGGAACCATTTTTCAATACACACACGCTCATAAGTTTGCCCAGAAGAAATAATGACTGGATCATACATTAGCTGCAATGATATTGGGCATCTAAGCTCTTCAGGGGGAGTTGGCATATTTTCCGATCTCTTCATCCTATTCTCATTGAAACTGTAGGCAAATTTAGAGAGATGTCTCTCAAAGGCACGTCCATTTCTACAAGGGGATGATACATAATCTAAGGAATTAAAGGTTGTGGGGGAACAAGGTGTTGATCCTTGAGAATCGGTGTCGTCGCCTACTTCGTTTCTGAAGAGCTTTGAGTATTTTCTCATAAGGTGCAATAAATATGAGACAATTGACTCTTTTTGCTTGTCATTCTCACCTTGTGCTCTTTCTATAAGCTTTTTGAGAGCTCTTCGCTCAGATAGAGCGGCTCTTGAAGATGTTATTCCTAGCCTTAAGGCGGCCTGATGGAAAACTTCGAGTTCTCCATTGTAATTAGGACTATTATTATTACTACTACTACTACTTTGTCTCTCTTTTACAAGTAATGATATTACATCATCGCCAACTTGCTTTTCAACCTGATCCAGTTCGAACACGGTGCCTTCCAGCTCATTGACAATCTCCAAGATCTAGCATAAGCACAGAGAAAACATAAGGTTTAAATCCTCGAGCAGAAAAAGAAGAAATTGCCGCACAACAGAATAGCTCAAATGATTAAGTATTGTGTTTTCCTATCAGGCATGTTCTATAAGTAGAAAAGGATAAGTCTTTTGGGTTTAAAAAAAAAGGAATCAATCTCCGAGTCTAAAGTGAAATGTGTTCTTGTTGGTTTCGCATGTACATGTTGAATTTCATATAAATAAATAATTTACTTAACAATGTGCAGACTCGGTTGTGCAGAAATGAAACTGCATTATAAATTGAAACAGAGCTACAGTTAGCCAGCCAGTTGAATGAAACAGTGCATTATTATTCTATTTAGCAGTAACAAGTAGAACTAAATGAGACATGAAGGAACTTATGGCTTCAATAATCAGAGAGACGATCTCTCAGGTACATATGACCCCTATATTGCATCTAGGATGTCATATTATGGTGCTTCACAGTGTTCAACAAACTTTATATTATGAAAGACCAACATCTAGGTCATGCATTGAATTCTCTTAATGTCCTCTTTCTGTTCATATCTCTTGATGCGTTTAGAGTTTAACTATGAGGTGCCTTTCATGTTGGTGTTGATTAAAAGCCAATACCCTTAAAACACCATCAATTAACATCACTCGAGGTGGCTTCTAAAGTAATAACATGGAAATGAGTACTGGCTTGATTTTCATTAAGTACCTGACGTCCGATGGCCTGTGGAACTATGTCTTCAACACGCCTTAGGCTTTCTTGGAGGGCACATCTTGCCTTCTCGAATTTCATAAGAATGGAGTCCCCTGTTATAGCCTGATAAAGCAAAAGGAAACGTAGATAAGGTACCCTGATAAACAATCAATTTTCTCCTTATTTAGCATGAAATGAACAAGAATACACCGACCAGTAATGAGATTTCAGTAAAGGAGCATACCTATCTCAGGTTATTCGAACTTATATCATCTAAAAACAAATTATAAATTTGACGGTTTGAATAGCTTCTGGTAGCTAAGAGCTACATAAGGTGAAAATCAAGGGTTTCACGAAGCGTTCATTAGGCTCGATGCCAAAGCAGATCACAAATAAATCAACGTAGCGAAAAGTTCTAAAATTTTCGCGAAGTCGATACCTTGTTCAGATTTATAAACTAATCCTTCAGATTTTTTACGAGATTTCGGATAGCAAACAGAACTCACCAAATAAAGCTTGCTGCAGTCCGAACAATGCTTAAGAAGAATTTTGGCTTTCTCAAGAGCTATGTGTAAAGAACATAATGCCTGTATGCCAGACTTGCTTCGGGGTCTTGATGCTTCTATAAATGGAAAGATCTCCAACACTTTGTAAACAATCATGGAAAGTAGTTTACACATTCCTCCATGTAACTGCAAATCCAAATAGGACCTTTTTCAATCATTTAATCTCGATAAATCATCAAAGGACTGATGTTGTATATCGATAAATCCTTTCACAACAACAACAAAACAGAAATCGAAACAAGGAAAATATACTGTGAGCAAAATAAATCACTAATCTTGGCTTAAAGGAAATATACTGTGAGTAACTGTGTTATAATTACCCATGAGCACTCGAAAATCTGCATAAATGAAAATCATCAAAGAACATAGAGCAGCAGTAAAAAAGATATTAACAAACGGGTTGCAAAATAAATAATCAAAAACCTAAGGAAAAAAACTACAGAAGAGGGAAATGCTGCTTATAGAGCTCTAAATAAAAATAATAATAGTAATAACTCCTGAAAACGATTTTTTTTTTACTAAATTAAGCAAAACAAACTTTAGAAATCGGATGAAAAGGGCCATGCCTTGCTCAGCTAGTAAAGGAATTCCTTAACGTGCTCGTGCATAGTACACCTCAAGACCAATCAAGATCAAAACTTTTCTATCCATAAACAACAACATCTCAATCGAGATCAAAGGTTTTCTATATATCCAAAAACCAAGTTGTGAAGATTACCTTCGCATCACCTACTACAAAGAGATTCTCTTCAATCTCAGCAGCATCCATGAGTCTCCCCTCAACAGACTTCATCCTTATTACAATAAAAAACGGCAGCCTCAGATTTTTCTCAGCTCCAGTATTTCTTCAGATAGAAAGAAGGAATAGAATCTATTGGGTTTTGAACAAAATGGGCCTTATCCTGAAACTTTCGGGTTCTCGCTCAGTTGGGTTGAAGAAAGAGATCCTAGTTTTGCGCAGAAATGTGAGAGAGAGAGAGAGAGAGAGAGAGAGGAGTGAGACCAAAGGCTCGCAATGAGGCACTTTGTTCTCAGGATTATTGTTTGTTTATTTATTTATTTATTATGTGATTAGGATAATGAATGTTATGATTGATATGTTGAGGGTTAAGTAGTGAAGAAGTGATTATAGTTTGGTTGGTGTTGATTATGATATTATTAAGAGAAAACTGTGGACGTCTCTTCACTGTCGGCAGAGTTAATGGTACAGTCTACGGATAGCCGCATGGAATTAATGTTGTTTCTACGCTAGCACTCTACTGGGTGTTGGCTCTGATACCATTTGTTGTGCGCGGCGAAAATCAAAATTAAACCGATGTGCTTCAAAAGACCCAATCAGGTTACTTCGAGAGTTAATTGTTGGATAGCATGTTCCTAATCTGTTTTGGTAACAGGTTATTGAGATTCCTAATCTGTTTTGGTAACAGATTACTGGGATTCCTAATCTGTTTTGGTAACAGGTTATTAGGATTCCTAATCTGTTTTGATTTTGGTTTTAGAATTCCTAGAATGTTTTTGGTTTTAGGATTTCTATATATATAGAACGATTGGAAGAGAGAATTGAGCAGTGAAGGGAATATTTGGAGCACAGAAATGAGGTATTTTCTGAGCTATTGGTTAGGGTTTTGTTTGGAGAGAATTAGAGCTTTGTTGGTGAGGTTAATTGGTGAGTTTGTGTGATTTTGTAATCTCAGTTTGTACTCTTCTTCTCTATTAGTGAAAACCTCATCCCCTTCTTGCCCGGTGGACGTAGGCAACTTACCGAACCACTTTAAAATTGGCTGTTTGAGTTTGTGTCGTTATTTTACATTCTTTGGCCTTCTCTCGGCGTTTGTTTGATGTGGTCTCTCGAAGCACATCGGTTTGGTTTTGGCTTCCGTCGCACACAACAAGTGGTATCAGAGCCCAACAAGTGGTATCAGAGCTTAGGCTAATTGGATGAGTAGATCGCTTTGGAAGTTCGTCTAGGGCTTCAGATGGTGATAAAGATGGGATTTTTCCTATTTGTGGATCTCGTTTCCATCGTGCGGGGTGAAATCTTTCGGAGGCTCTTGTTAGGATTTCAATTAGAGGTAAAAATCTCTCCTTTATTAGATTGGATCTATTCTTCGTTTGTTCCGTATTGGTTTGTTGGTGCTTTGAGATAGATGGCCGAGAAAGAAGGAGTTGAGGCTGGGATATAGGATTATTGAGAAGTGCTTTGATCTGCATATTGAAGTCCTTTTAGCACATTGATATGAGCAAGGAGACCGAGGTGGAGTTTGGCACTTCTATTCGACGATTGAGAGGTCTTCTAGGTGGTGTTCATTCAGGCATTTGAGGGCCTTCCAAAGAGGCATCATTGGGAGGTAATCGATATTTGGTTTCCGCAGTTGGGGACTGTTCTAGGTATTGGTGGGTTGCAACCAAGTCTCATTGATGTGAAATCCTAGAAGTCAACAACAGATGGAGGAAGTGTATTAGCAGAAAGGTAACCCGTCATTCTGTTTTTGGTAAAAGTTCTTTCTTGCATTTGTACCGAGCTCATGGCAGTTTGAGACACTTCATTAGAGAGGAAACATTGGGACGACGAGATGAGATGATAGTTTTGATGGGTCGTTCCTTGTTGGAGGAAGATCGGCGTTGGTTGTCGAGCATTGGATTGCAGAAGAGTTTTAAAGCTTCGACATATTTGGGTCATCTTAGTCATAAGTTACCGACTGCTACGTTTAGAGATTTTTTATCTGGTGGAGCTGCTTCAGATTTTGGGTTGCGTCGGATGTTTGATTGCCTAGCATTTAGTCTCATCGAGGATGTAAGATTTGATCTGATTGTACATTTAGGATTCAGAGGCTCGTTTCGTTATCAGTTGGGAGATTCTGATTTTGTTCTGAGCAGGTATGTCACTTTTGACTCTCAGCAGGTGGAGAGTGTTGATCAGATCGTTAGGATACCGCAGCGGGTAGAGGGTGATGCTACTCCACATTGGGTGGAGATTACTCTACATACTCCAGATCATACTGCATCGTTTGGGATTCCAGCTGAGGTGACACAGTTTGGGGATCATATTGATGTGGATACAGATAATGAGTTGGTTGATTTGAGTGCAGCTGGTGAACATAGCTTCGATTTGGATATGATTGTTGGTTCATCTCAAGTGAAGGTGTTTAGTTTGTTTCATTTTGGGGCCATTGGGAGAGCTATCAGTTACAGATTTGTTGGTGATGTTAGTGAAGAGTTGTGAACTTTTCTATTGGATTGAGGGCCTTTGGAGGCCATTGGGGAACTACGTGAAGGCTTGATTCATTGGGCAAGAAGATATGTAGGCAGTCATTTATGATGCAGTCGATTTGGTGAGTAGATACCGACATTTGGAGAGTGGTCACACTCGTTTGGGTCTCGACTTGTTGTGGATTGAGTTCGTTATTGTGATTTTGTTTCACTTCGTACTAGACGTAATAAGTGAGTCATTTGTTTTGGTTGGTGTCGGCTCAGTTTTGGAAGAAACTTTACCGAGGTGGAGAATTATTGGATAGTAGGTTCCTAATCTATTTTGGTAACAGATTATTAGGATTCCTAATCTGTTTTGGTAACAGGTTATTAGAATTCCTAATCTGTTTTGATTTTGGTTTTATAATTCCTAGTATATTTTTGGTTTTAGGATTTCAATATATATGGAACGATTGGAAGAGAGAATTGGGTAGCGAAGGGGATTTTTAGAGCACAAAAAAGAGGTATTTTCTGAGCTATTGATTAGGGTTTTGTTTGGAGAGAATTAGAGCTTTATTGGTGAGGTTAATTGGTGAGTTTGTGTGATTTTGTAATCTCAGTTTGTACTCTTCTTCTCTATTACTGAAAACATCATCCCCTTCTTGTCCCGTGGACGTAGGCAACTTGCCGAACTATGTTAAAATTTGTTGTTTGAGTTTGTGCCGTTATTTTGCATTGTTTGGCCTTCTCTCGGTGTTTGTTTGATTTGGTCTCTCGAAGCACATCGGTTTGGTTTTGGCTTCCGCGCGCATAACACTGGGGAGCGACTGTTTGTTTGGAAAAAGAAAAAGCATTATGAATATTATGAATTTGATAATATTATTTCAGAAATTTCTCAAAGCTAATGTATCCTTATTTCTTCTACTGAAATTTCGACTATATCAAAAATAAACATGCATTATATGTATCAGTCGGTGTTTTCCTTTTTTTTCTTTTTTTAATGTTCAGGCCTATAAAAAGTATAATTTTTATTTTGGTAAATGAAACTTTTCATTAACCATTAAAACGTTCAAGTACAAAAATAACCCAGGCTTACCCAGGAAACACCGAACTACAAACTCAATTACAAGCTTTCAATCCAAACTTTAACACGGGATGGCACATTCTTACTCAATTAATCCTCACAACATCACTTACTCCTCTAGAAACACTCTAAAAATCTCCTGAAGTTCCTTTCTCGCCACCCTGGTAGGTTGTAGCAGCAAGAGCTAGCCGCCCTGATTTCACTCAAGTATCAAACCACCGCAACTCCTCACTCCATCACATTGGATCCCTCTCAACGCCCAACCAGGATAAAATTCTCTTCCAAACAATAGCAGAGAAGGGGCAATGAAAAAAAAAAACAAATGCTCAATGCATTGCGCAGATCGATTACAAAGAATACACCTGCTTGTAGGGTGAAAATTTGATTCTTCCGAAGGAAGGAGTTTCGTTTGTATTTATAAGAAAGCTTGTTACAAACTAACAAATCAAATGTTTACAACAGAAGCAGAGGGAAGGCCCTCTTTGTTTTGTGTGGGGACTTTAGGTGGCGATAGGATGCCTCGCTCGGTGCTCGTGCCGAGTCTGCTTCCCTTGGACGATCCGATCGAAGTTGATGCCGGAGCCGGAGCTTCGGTTCTCAAATGAGGGAGCCTTTGGCAAAGGTCCAGGTTCAACCTTTGGGAGATTAGCCAGCAGAATATGCAACGGCCAATCCCCCCTTCTTCATGCTGCTGAAGATGGGTTTTAGTAGGCAAGGGATGACATGGGCCATCCCTTGATTCATGGGATTTGACCATGTGAGGGAGACAACTTGACTACTCCTTGAATTATGGGATGTGACCACACGTTGTTCGGAGACGTCCTGCTGTTCATTCGTACCGTCAATGGTCATTCGAAGAGCTGTGCTCTGCATCACGCTACATAGGAGTGGGAAAGCCCCTCCTCGTATGCGTGACAACGGCTGTCAGATGCTTGCGTGGATCTGACCAACCACCGAGCGTTGGCGGCTCTCGTCCCTTCACCTGGACAACTGAGGTGAGCCGCATTTATGAGGGTGCAGGCTGTTTCGGCGCCTGTCCGCTCATTCGTACTGTGGACGGCCATCTGACGGGCCTGGAGTATTGTGCCCTCTCCCTTGATTTGTGGGATTTGACCACTGATGTAACTGTTCCCATACTCCAAGTGGGCAGTTGACAGTGAGCTGGCGAGTCTGCAGCTTGGGTCTGCAGGCGAGCTTGCAGGCGAACTGGGTCTGCAGGTGAGTTTGGGACTGCAGGCGGACTTGGGTCTGCAGGCGAGCTAGCAGGCGAACTGGGTTTGCAGGCGAGCTCAGGTGCGCAGGCAGACTTGGGTCTGCAGGCGGATTTGGGACTGCAGGCGAATTTGAGTTGCAGGCGAGCTCCTGAGCATGGATTGAAGAATAGGCCGTAACTTTCAAACCGTAAGTCGGAATTGGACGAATTATATATGAAAATCGCCTATCTCGACGAGATGGAGCCATCCGAACCGAGCCGAAGGCTTCGGTTCGCTTCCTCCGTTTTGCCAAATTCCTTACGGTTTGGGAGATATCTGCGTTTTCCCCTTTTTCTGCTATTTCGGGCGAGGTTTTAGCAGTTTTGTTCTGAACTTCTCTGATAAGGATTTAAAGGCAATTTTTATTGCCTACAAAACCCCCTCCAAAGTTTTCAGACCTGAATCAGGCCGCATGGGGTCTGGAACACTTTGGATATGAAGTCCCGTAAAGTGATCCCTGCTCTTCACTCGCAGCTGATGATCGCCT